TACTGTGGCTTCATCTGGTATTGCATCGTTGTTATTGGTAGGGGGGCGCACTGCACATTCTACATTTTGTATTCCTTTGGAAACCCTAGACAATTCAATATGTGGGTTCACTAAACAATCAATGCATGCCGAATTGTTTAGAAAAACAAAGCTGATAATATGGGATGAAGTTCCTATGCAGCATCGATACTGTGTTGAGGCAGTCGATCGCACCCTTCAAGATATCAGAGACGATAAAAGACCTTTTGGGGGTATCACTGTTGTCCTGGGTGGAGATTTTCGACAAATATTGCCTGTTATTCCTAAAGGCGTTCGTGAGCAAATTGTGGGTGCATCATTGAGACGGTCTTTGCTATGGAAAGATATATGTGTTTTGACTCTAGGTTTAAACATGCGATTAACTCGCACTGACGTTCGAAATACTAATTTTGCTAAATTCTTGATGGAGGTAATATTTCATTCCACCTTGAATTGTTGAATTTTTTAACATGATGCTTTGAATTAAATCTCACTTTGTGACTAATTATACTCTCATTTTTTAGATTGGGACCAATCCACGTGAAATTGTGCAACTTCCATCTACAATAAACCGGTGTCACAATCTAAATGAATTGATATTTAAAATCTATCCACAATTGGATGTGATTGGTATAGTGACTCCAACCTTTTTCACTGAACGCACAATTCTCTCTGCGCGTAATGACGACGTCAGTGATATAAATGCTGCAGCACTGAATATTACTCCGGAAGAGACAATTACTTTTTTAGCTGCAGATAAAATGTCTGAAGGTGATGAGCTTGACCGTACCATTAGGAATCGATATCCTAATGAGTACTTAAACTCGCTGAATCCTTCAGGGTTGCCACCGTTTAAATTGGAGTTGAAAGTTGGATGCCCAATAATGTTGTTACGAAATATTGCACCAAAGGATGGACTTTGTAATGGCACGCGATTGATGGTTGTTAGATGTGCCTCAAGGGTAATCGAAGCTCAGATATTAAATGGAGATAAAATTGGCAATTTAGTCTTCATTCCGAGAATATCAATGACACCAACATCTTTGGACTTGCCTTTTCGAATGACAAGACGTCAGTTTCCTGTCCGATTAACTTATGCTATGACAATCAATAAAGCCCAAGGACAATCTGTCAAGTTCGTTGGGATTGATTTGCGGACACCTGTTTTTAGTCATGGACACCTTTATGTGGCACTATCTAGATGCACATCTTCAGATCGTATTACAGTCCTCCTTCCAGAAGATGGGTCGAATTGCACTACAAATATTGTTTACCCAGAAGTTTTGTTATAAGATTCTTACGACAAGTAAATGGTATAGTTTAAACAAATTTATTTCTACTGAATTATGTAATCTTTTCATCATTTCAACTTTTAGTTTTACAATGAGATTCATTCTTTATAGGATTGGAGTGAATTTGTCAACGAGAACGATAGTGTATATACAATGGAGCTTTGTGGATGGGGCCGACGTAATCAGGTAAATCTACTTTATGTCACTGTATTAAAATAACTTTACTATTCCTACAATATAAATATTGTGTTACTTTTATTGTTTATGTGAATAATTTAGGTGGTTGTGCATTCTCCTCATTGGGCAAAGTGCGTTCGTATTGATACGAGGACATTAAGGATAGTGATGAAGAGAAGGTTTAAAGGGATGAATAAGACATTTAAGAGAGTTAAATGATATGCAATCCATTACCGACCTGTCCACCTTTGACGATGACTAACTCATCACTGACCAAACAATTGTTTAGGTATGAAAATCTCTCTTACTAAGACTCTATATTTCTCTATTTCTCATGTAGACACACAACACACAATACATGCACAAACACAAACACATAACTGTAACCAATCAAACACTCGCAAATCAAACTCACACACCATTATATTGTCACTAATACAGATTTATGATTGAAATCATTAAGCAAATGAACCGTCTGTTGAAATGATACTAAGAAAATCTTATTTGATTGTAAGTCTCTACATTCCTCCATATATTTTCCTAAATAAATTGATAATTTGTTACAAACTCTCTAAATTCTTACTTATATCAATCTAAATCATTTCAGGGTAATGTAATTAATTTTATTGAATCCAACTAACGAAAAAAGTAAGGGGTCTTATGTTTCGGATTTACAATTGTTTTATTTTGACTCACTTATTTCGATAATTTTTATATTTCAAATATTTTCAGGTATACATTGAAGGATACTTGGTATAAGTTGTAAAGAATATGAAGTTGTTTCTTTATTTTGTGTATGTGTGTATTTTTTGTGTTCCGTCTTTTGTAAAGTTAACTAATTATACATAATTATGATGATTTTGGGTATGGAATGATGGTTGTTTTGGTGGTTTGGGTATGTAGTGATGATTGTAAGTTTTGTAGACAGGTTTATATTTTTCTGTATATCTATTTTTAAAAGAAATTCTGCATAAATTTCTTGAAATTAGTAGGGATTAACTTGATGTTTTGGTGGTTGGATATGTGTTGATGATTGAATATGTATTAATTATTGTAGTGGTATGGTAAATTATGATAACGTTATGGTAAATTAGAGTTTTAATCTAATTTTTCGTTACGCCGTGCCTTCAGGCACGGGCAATTACTAGTTTAATAATATCGCCTTACCTTTCAGAAAATTTTGTTTTATTTTCTTTGTAAATTAAATCTTGTACAATGATTCTATTATAAAGAAACGATGTTGTACTTGTGTCGTGTTGGCACCTCGTGAATAGAGCCAAAAAATTTCATTCCTCTCTGTGTGCTCATGACTGGTCTGCAATCTCACCTGTGCAGGAAGTGACGACCATACAAGTCTTTCAGTTCTCAAGGGTAGTTGGGGGGCATTTTAAGCAACTAATACTATTACTTATGTGATAGTATAATGGCAAGATATTGCATGAATATATTTTAGTCAAATGCACATGACATGGGTCATTAAAGCCATTACGAAATGTCTTTGAGCCTGACCATGATTGGATATAATAATCTCAAACAACAAATAATTTCAACCATATTCTACTAAGTTCCAAAAATGGATCAGTCCACAAGATTCTCAGGAGATTTGATTAAGAAACTCGTAAAAATTTCTGAAACCTAAATTAAACCATGCAAATAATTCAACCATGTCCCAGATATTATCATGTGCAATGCAATGATTAATATTCACTATCATCACCACATATAGCATTATTATTAGCAGTCGTATTCGAATATACTAGAACAAAATGAGATGTTTTTGAAACAAACAAGAAGTTTGGAAAACTTGCTTTATCCTAATTTGGGTGTCCATAAACAGAAAGATGGATGATGAAAAATGGAAAAATATTGTAGTAACAGCATCTCGAAGTGAGCCAAAAGAGTAACACTATACCTGCAAATAATGCTCCTACATTCCAAAATGTGCCCACCAATCTACACAAAACATAAGGGAAACTGATTACTTACAAGCTTTATCTCCTAAAAATGTGAATTGCTCTCTATCTCTCTCTCATATATTGTCTTTGCACGGCTTGCTTGTATACGGCTGCAACAAAAGCAAAAGACGAACAAGTAATTGTCAGATGAGCTGCCATAACAAGAAATTTTTATTAGCTCTATGAATAAAAAGACATAACAGCCAGATAATTCAGAATGTCCATATATAAATTAGTAAAATTAAAAGGGATTTTTCTAGTTTCTCCAGTAATGAAAGGTGTTTAGAGAAACAAATCAACATGACATTCTCATATCCAAACGGTTGAAAAGTTTCACTTCCAACAAAATAATACTATTTTGATCAAAAATAATAATAATATTATTAAAAAAACAAAATAATATGAAATTAATTATTTGTCCTGTTATCCTTCAACACATACCAACTTCACTTCTCACATAACATATCTAATTTCAATAAAATTAAGGATTTTACTATATTAGTGGGTCCCATCTGCTTCAAATTGCATTTCGAGCATTCATAAAAAAAATTTAAACCTAATGCTTGGTCGCATCCTGGCCATTGATTGAGTAGTTGGTATATCCTGTAAGTACTCTCAAATTCAAAAGGAGCCAGAACCAGTGAAGAGCAATTAGATCATAAATTGTTTAACAAACCAAATCCCCATTGACCTCCACAACCGCAGGTGGTTTGTCCATTTTACCAATATTTCTTAGTAATTTCTTTATAAAGACTAATGTTTGAAAAAAAAAAAATTCTAGTTAGACGCTAACCACCTACTACTCAAGAAAAGAAGACCTCAAAGACTTAACCTACCATAACAACACAAAAACACCCTAACATTCAAATGTGTAAAGCCAAGTAAGTTCACTTCACCGGATAGAACATTTTATTTTATTTTATATTTGAGATTTTTCCATCAGGCACACATAGCATATAAAAGGGGAATACTTATTGTATCTAATTTAGTGACCTTATTTGGTGAAATAATAGATCATATCTATTGAATTAATAGTAGATCTTAACTAATAGTGGAATTCTCTATCAATTTTATGACAGAAAATAATAAATTCACTAAATATGGCCACTAAATAAGGTTTATGTAACCATATCAAAACATCTACAATCCTATGTTTATTTATTTCAAAGATTATGGAAAGACTGCTCATTTATTTCAAAGGCCAAGAATATTAACTTCAATGAATGAAAGCAAGCAAAACATTTGAATGAAAATAAGAACCTAGGGTTAATAGGTACGAGTACGATTACTGAAGGGGACATATCGGGGCAGTGAAAAGACAATAATTCTCTTAACCACCTCTACTGCACTAGGAAATAAAGAGTAATATTGGATTTCCACAGCTAACAGAATAATATCACCCAATTCATGTTTGAAGTGTGAATCAAAACTTCAACATATAAATGCAAAATAGGAGTCGAAAAAGAGCAAAACGGAAAGAAAGAGACACGAGAGACTTACCCAGAACAAAAAATGGTTGAAAGAATAATCCTAGAAGGCATGAAAGGTCGAAAAGATATTAACAGAACGGACCAATATTGCTCCTACGCTCGTCGGTTCCAGTCGTCTCTTGCTTCTGTGGCGCCGGTGGTTGCTCTGGCTGTGGATGTAGCTGCTGATGCTGCAGCTGCTCTTGCTGAAGTAAAAACTGTGGATGAAGCTCAACCTGAAGCTGTTGGGAATGAGATTGCTCTTCTGGCTGTTCTTGAATCTGATAAGGGTTGCCGTAGGAGCCCAAAGCCAGGGACGTTGACAAAGCCGCTTCAGTCATCTGATTAAACCCAGTTGCCGTAGAAGGTCCAGCCCCAGCAGTATCGAACCCGATATTAAACCCAGTTGCAGTAGAAGGTCCTGCTCCAGCACTATCGAACCCGATATTAAACCCAGTTGCCGTAGAGGGTCCAGCTCCAGCACTATCGAACCCGATATTAGATCTCATAGGGTCAAGCTGCTGTGCCTGTTGCTGATATCGTTGCTGCTCATAAGCCCTGAGCATCTCCTGTTGCTGTCTCGCGGCCTCCACAGCCGCTAATTGCTGAGCATCTAGCACTTGCTGATCATAGTGATGTTGTTGCTGCTGCTGAGGCTCACCGATCATCAATTGAGTAGAAAGCGATGGCCCAGAATGTAATCCCAGCACCGATTGCACATTATAGGGCATGACCGAAGACGAAGGATTGTCGGGGTGTTGTTGCACAAACCCTTGATATTGAAGTATCGGAAACATCGCGGAGGGGCCAATGTAAGTTGCCAATTCTGTCTTGGCATTGTATAACTCATATCGGACTTGCTTGAGCCTTTGTTGAAGGATTGAGATAAGTCCTACAGAGCCATAAATCGGGTTATGAAGTCGAGCTTGGGCTTCATATGCAAGGGAATTAGCGGCATCTTGGCGTTGCGAGGGGTGTAGTTCCCCGAGAAGTTTGCCGACATTGCTTGCACCAAAAACCTTGTGGACACTGGCGAATTTGTCAGGCTGATTCGGTGGGAAACAGGGAGCAAATATACAATCCTCGGCGCACTTTCGCCGAAGGAGCTTACACGCCGCACATGGAGAGTTGGATGACGACATTTTCTTTCCTTTTATTCGTCAATACTGTATACATATTCAAGAGACAAAATCACGTTGCATCTGTGATAAATAAGCTTCTAAAAAATGAGAAAAAAATATTCAGACTTAGGAGACAAAAGAAACAAAGTACTCTCGGAGAGAGAGAGAGAGAGTTGCCTCATATAAGATAGGAAGCCGCTGAGGTTTGCTAAAATCTTCCATGGAAATAAACGATATAATATTGAACGAGAAGAAGGTTAGTAGCCATTACAAGCTTCGAAAATCGAAACCGACATGGTAAGTGTAAGTCAATAAACGATATATATAGAACGAACGCGATGATTTATATAAAGAAATCAGAAAGCCAAAAGAGAAAGTCAATCCTAGATCGTATTTTCAATCTTCCACGAAATCAATCGCACAAAAACCTCTTCTCATCTATCAAGAAAATATATGGAAAAACCAGCAATCATCACATTCTTCATTAAATTACCTTCGATTTTACACTTCAAACCTCTTGAAATCACACTAAAACTCTTCTTGCTTCTTCTTCATCTCCGCATGCAGATGTTTTCGTATTATCTGCAAAAAAAAAAAAAAAAAAGACGAATCATGACCGCTGAAAGAAAGAACCGTTCCTGTCAATAAAAACTGAAAGGAAATCAGAATGAACAGTGAATTCGAACCTTCGTTCAGAGGGGAGAGAGAGAGTAGAAGTCTAGGGTTTCGATCTTCAATTTTTCAACGATTCCAATCAAAAAGAAAGAGAAAATGCGAAAATCGTAGAATTCTTGAAACGAGAGTAGTCTGATAAGCAGTTAAAAATAAGAAGCTAGTGTAAATTTGTGGAAAGAAGAGAAAAAGGAAGGATCATTTCGGTGGACTCAACGCCATTTTTATATACCGTGCGTGCGTGTGTGTAATGTGTGTTGGGCCCGATGATGAGTGATAACTGATAACTTTCATTGAGAAGTAAGCAACAGTGTGGGGTCTATTTTCACCCATCAGATTTATAGAAAGATTTGTTTTGACCGTTAGATTATAATTGGGGTTCGGGGGAAGGGTGAATGCTACACGAGAGAGAGAGAGAGAGTCTGTACTCTGTACTATCTTTCATCTATTGACCTAATTGCCCCTTTTTTTAATCATAGAATTGGTATTTAAGATAAACCCTCTAAGTTCCAAAAAGTTACAAAATTGTCCTCAATCTTTTTAAGATAGAGTAAAAAGAAAAAACAATCTTGAATTTTGAATGAGTTGACTTTCCTCAAGTCTATCCATATAAACTGTATTATTAATTATCACCATCCTACAACCCAACCCCCCCTCCTCTCTAATTCTAATATCGCTGGGCAATTAGCTTTGAATGTGTTATAATATTTTTTTTTTAAATGAAATAGTTCAAAAAAACTAATTAAAAATTTAAATCTTAGTTTAAAAAAGTAGTAGGAGGAGTGATTACAAATGGCATATAAAACAATTTGGATTGAAAAGAGCTATTTAAATATTTAAAAATCTAGTAATTAAGTGTTTAGGGTGGAAAATCTTTTCAAAATCTCTCATCCCTAATTTAATTATTATTATTATTTAATGATTTGAGCTGTTGCTTAAGCAATTGTTTAATATCTAATTTGGTTATGCCTATTTGGTTTATAATTTTATAAAATAGTACCTAAGGCTGTCATATTATTTATTTCATAGACATTGATAACATATTATGATCATTTTAAGAAATCACAACCATAAAACTAAATAATTATTTCCCTAACCTTGAGAGTGGAGTGGATAAAGATTGTTACAACATTTCCTCATCTCCATCTATTCCCCCATTTCTACCTCTCACTCACATACACGCATTAGCGGCGCCCCGTGCGTTGCACGCTATTTTTAGTCTTTCTCATCACAATGTTATCACTCTTATTGTCACCGTCACCCCTTTGCTCTATTTGACTATTATTCTACTAAATTAAAAATGATAAAAAAAAATTCAAATTTAAAGTAATTTGTGGCAATACTCACATAAGGCACGAGAAATTATATAATTTGTTGAAATTAATGTATTGTTATTAGATAATTCAATATTATAAAAATCTTTTATGAGAACAGAAAGGCAAGGGTACTAGGGAGTTTGAATGGAGTTGGTAGTTTAGTCGGAATATATTTCTAAGGAAGTTGAGAACTAATAAAGAGAGTGAGAGACTATATTATATAAATTTAAATGAATTTAAAAAATAGAAAAGAGACTCAAAATTAGTATAAGATTGTCGTGCACTTAATCATGGGTTGAAAATCTTAATTTGGACCCTGTTAATAGATATTCAAGTGTTTGGCGGATAAATTAACAGTTCATCCCGTAACTATAAACACTACTTAAAGAAATAAGATTATTTGGTGTCTAAAAAAAAAAGGAGAACGCCTCAAAATCATCCTATCTGTACTTCTTTGGAAGTGATTTTTAGTTTCACTTTGTTTTTTAAAATTAGCCTTAATTTTTGTAATTAAATATATGTTTTACTCATGCTTCATAAGTAATTTACATATCTCAAATTATAAGATAGAAAACAAAAAAAAAATATATCGTACTAAAACACTAATTGTAGATAGACATGACTAGTTGTAGATAAACATTAATTCAAAAACACTTTTAAAACACATTTCTAAAAAAAAAAAATATAGTTATTTCAAAAAATTCATCTCAAAAAACTTATTTTAACTAGTATATTTTAAAGATGAATTTTTACTTTGAAACGTAATCCATGAAATTAAATGTGACTAATTCACAATAACTAATTTAATATTGATAAAGATAGCCAAAACATATAATCAAGGACTATAGATGTGGTTTAGTTTAATTTAATTTAATTTATTTTTATTTTTTGAGAAGGGAGGATATAGATTTTCAAACACCCAAATTTTGTAACTAACTTTGGAGACAGTTTTGGCAATGGGCAGCGGTTGAAGGGCATATCAGTCAATCAAATTTAATAGCACATCGTTTTTTGTGATTCGCTCATTCATATGTCTTCAACCTACCAGTACCACCATCGTGCGCACGAGGCAGACCTTTCCAATAGTGTGAGAGAGGACTGGTACGGACGGACCATCTTGTGTTGAACTGTTGATGTTCCGTTTTTTGTTGGGTAATTTTACGATACCCAATTGGAGGTATTTTAGTCCACCACCAGAAGGACTGCAGGAGGGTTATGTTTTATTTTTGAACCTCAAGGGGGGTTTATGTGAATTTGAATCCATTTTGACTGAAGTTCTGAACCTTTTAGGGGACAAAATGAGACGGAAGGGAGAGTGGGAATGGGATGGTGCGAAGTGCGAACACTGGGACTGAGGAATGCTCATGACTGACTACTCAGTGAGACCTTGCAGTGCAGTCAGTGTGTTGGTGAGCAATTGCGTGCAAAGGGTCTCATTCCATTAAATGCATACCCTGCCTCAGGTACAATAGTGGTTTATACACACCACTCACTCACTCTCTCTCTCTCTCTCTCTCTCTCTCACACGCACACCCACCCAGGGCCACACCTCTCTCCCCCAATTTTTTGTCTTTACTTAACACACAAAAGCATACTCTCAGTGGGAGGATGACTTGAGATGCTCATAGCCATGTAGAAAGAAGTAAATGCAATATCAAATCCACTTCCCTAATTTTTTTTCCAAAGTAAGTTTGATAAATTATGTTTAAATAGCAATATTATTTTAATTTTATATGAATTTGAACGGGTTGGGTTGTCTTCGTTTAACGCACTCATGCTTCAATTAAACTTATTATTTAATTATCTATACCAAATAGTTTAAATGCGAAGCTTATGAATACAAATCTTATCTCTTATTCGACTATTGAACTAAATTAGTGTTCATTTGGCAAACACTTACAAATAAATTGGAAAATTTGGATAAGACTAGGGTATCTAATTGGTGCCATCCTAAGATTTAGCTATATCCATTAATTTTGTTTTGGATTATTTGAAATTATCGACATAAAAAATAAAAAATAAAAGTGTTGAAAAATAATTTTTTTTACATGTTTTGTTTTTTAAATAAATAAAAAGTGGAGATATAATACTAAAAAATTATTTTATTTTTTGAATATGATAATTGAACCATTAGAATTTTCATATTATAACTTGGGGATGAGGAAGATTATGATGTGCATGGATTTGACAATGAATATATTGTGGTAGCATCACTGAATTGAAGTTGAACCTGCCTGTTGCTCCGCTCATTTAGAGTCATTACTCTTCTTCCCAATCCTCTTGTCTTTTTCCTCTCGAATATGTTAATTTTTCTCACAAAGTGTATAAACTTGAAGAGATTACTCTAAACTTAAAGCGATTACTCTCTTGAGCTCAGCAATTGTTATCGTAACTTGAACCAAGCAGCTATTACCATATCTTGAACTGAGCCATAGCATGTTCCTCTTTGAAAAATAAGGGTCGTTGAACTTTAAAAAATGTGAGAAGGAATTAAATTTAAGACATTTGAATTAATAAAAACTAGACTTAACTACTGAACCATCCTTAAGAAGTAAACATACGTTATATCTATCTATTTATATCTATATCTATACTACTTATAAATATTAGTATGTGCAAAAAATTTTTGATTTTCTATCTCACCCTTAATTATTACACTAAAGACAATCATTCCCACAAAATATAAGCTAGATAAACTTTATCTTTATGACTTCCAAATTTTTTGCTGGATAAACTTTATCATTAATATTCAAAATTTTTGCAAGAAATTCCAATTTTTTTGCAAGATAAATTTTATCACTATATATTAGTTAGATAAAATTAGATAGATAAACTTTATCTCTATGACTTCTAAATTTTTTGCTGAATAAACTTTATCACTAATATTCCAAAATTTTTACAAGATAAATTTTGTCACTATATATTAGTTAGATAAAATTTATCTCCACTATGACTTGCCAATACATTCTTTTTTTCCATTCAATTTAATAAATTCAATTATAATTCTAATATGATGTGGAAAAAAATTGCTAT